TACTTCATTTTTTGCGCTTTTGAGTGGTATCAATCGATACTGATAATGGTTTGAATAACCCAAGTTAAGCCAAACAAAATTTGGCAGGATTCTACCTAAACCTTGATGAGACACCGGGGTCGGGAATTTTTTGCCGTTCCGCAAATATTTCACCAAAATTACTCCCACAATTTAAAATTTTTTAAAATTTTTTTTCAGAATTCACTTCTATTAAATTTTTAAAGCCGTTTATAAACCTAATTTTTGGTAGATTTTTCTACTATAAGTGGTAAATTTCAATTCCGTAATTACTTTAAAAAATTTAAAAAAAATGAATTAAATCCATGTCCTTTTAAAAATAGGTAAACACGCACGGGCTCGTGAAAATTTTTTTCCAGTAAGTTGCTAACTCAGGAGCCAGGGAAGCAAGAAAGCTGAAATTATAAGGGACTGTTTCTGACAGTTCTGGCGGCCAATCTTAATTTGTTTAGCTAGAAGCATTCTCGAACCACTGTTTTGGAAAGGAACAAAAAAAAGCAAAGAGTTATACTCTTTGTCAAACGACAATCGAAGCATATCATCGCCTCGTGTGGCATCGGTACTTTCTGGTATAAATTTCCGGATAAAAGGCCGCAAACGATCGAAACATGTGGCCGTGTAGAAGCTATGACTGATGAGGTATTCAGCCAGCTGACTGCTTAAACCAATCACAGCACTCCACATCATCTCGACGTTGGTCCGACCAATTGAATGTGCTATTTCGAGCATTAAAACAGCGCTCTGAAATCATGATTTTTATTAATGTTACCAATAACTGTCAAGGTCTGCAGCACTGTAAATACAATATGCGTTTTAGCATTTGCATAAAGACGAAAAAATGCGGAAAAAAGGGGTTCCTGATGCCTCGTCTTCATCCTGAATCTAATAGAAGCAGCAAAGACCATCTAAAATTTGCAAAAGCGCTTCCATCTTCCAAAAAAGGACCACATTTATGCATATTTTGGGTATTTTATGAAGAAAAAACACCTATTTTTATCCTACACCACGGTATTTACAAAAGCTACAAAGCACCTAAAAAATTAAACTGCGGCTATAACGAGGCTCTGAATCCAAAGAATGAATTTAAATCATGATTTCTCCAGATCGATAATCACGATAAATCATCACCGCAGGCTTTGGGACCGACAAAGAGCGAGCTATCATATAAAGTACAGCCTTGCCCATCGAATTAATTGTTAAAATCTGGTTACAAATCTATTTCAGGACTCTTGGCAACCTTGGCAGTAAATGCCTACTTTTCGATCAAGCATCATACCCTAAAAAAACTTTCACGGGACCGTACGTAAGAACCACACATACTCGGAGGCTGAATTTAAAGTCTTTGAATTCCATGTGGACGAGGAACATCGCCTCGAAGTTTCAGCCTCCCAGCTTTTCTGGTTTCCGAGTTGACGATTTTCCCGCTAAAAAGGTTTTCCTCCCAAAGCTCAGTTCCAAACGTCCACATTTCTGAGAAAAAGCGCAAAATATTTAGGAGAATTTCGATTCGTTTTTTCAAAAAAAGTAAAATTCAAACTTAAAAATTCAAAAATACATGAAATATACATACCGAGCCAGCATACCACGTATTCTCGTAGTAGTTCCACAAAATATCGGCACGACGTTTCCGTCGTTCCATGCGTTTCTGCCGTTTGATTTCTCGCCGTTCAATGGAATCTGTCACATCGTGCACACGTTTTCGTCTACCACTGGAACCTTCGGTGCCACTTTGCTCCGTACTTCCAGCAATGTGTTCCGCTGCTGCAGCTGTTTCAAGCTCAGTGTCGCTACTTCGTGGTATCTCCACTTCTTCCTCTGCTAAATTTCGAAAATTTAAGGTTTTAGGCAAAAATGAGAATACTTATTTCATCAAGGATAATAAGCAAGGCAGCCAGAAACTAAGGGGAAACGAAGACGACAAATGGACCAGGTGATTGCTATGAGCAGAATAGCATCATCTATGCTCTTTCAAGTGCCTCTCCACCTCCCAAAGGCAGAAAAATACAAAAACAACTTTTTATGCAAACCCTTGACCCGAAGGAATGATTTTAGCCCTATTTACTACCACCAGCATTTTTCTGGGGCAATTTTGCCCGCAAGGAAATGACGCTGAACTGGGGTTCTAACTCATCAATTTTTTTTTTTTTTTTGGATAGGTTCATAACTCGGTGATCTGAGATGCTGGAGCGCTGAATTCTTACAGAGATGTTCCCCGTCCAAGTAGATGTTGATGTACTGAAACCCATCCGCCGTACAAGCGTGGTGTCCGCGTACGGGCCCGCTGGTAGTGCGTATGAATGTGTCGATGGATCGAAGGAACTAATTAGCGTGCTAGGCTAAATCAGAGACAAAAGATAGTTGTTTATTGTATGAGACACGGACACTGAACAGAATGGGTAATCGACGAATCACCAGCACTGGTACGAATATGAATAGATCGGTTGATGAAAGGCACTCAGGCGGTAGTTGTGGACGAATGATAAATGCGGATCTCGAATCATCGGATTCTGTCTTTTAAATCATATTTAAGGTGTATGGCAATGAAAAATAAAACGATGGTACCATGATAACAATCCTCGTCGCTGCTTTCTCCGGAAGTAGCCCGGTCAATTTCCTCATCCATTTCCTCCTCGACCGATTCCGCTTCAACCTCGTCCAAATCATCATCACTTTCGCTACTACCGGAATACGAACTGTCCGTGATTTCAATCTCTTCAATTGTTGGAATGTGAAATTTGCCCTTTTCGGTGTGGCTCGCAAAAAGGCGAATATTGTCATCAAAATACACCTGAAAAAGCAAAATTTTAGAAAACCAGGGCAACAGCAATACCACTATAAATAGTAGAACGCAATTCGTTATTTGTTCAGTGGTAAAGCAATCTGATCCTCCATTCACCAGGCGTAAAACAGACAATTTTGTACGGGAAAAACGCACAAGTTTGAACAAAAAATAAAAAAAAAAATCCAAAAAACTGCGCAAACCACCTGCAAAAAAAGCTAATTTTAATCGAATAAGCAAAAATTTTGCTGAATATTGAAAAAAATCGACAAAAAAGGGGTTTTGCGGGGGTACTTACATTGTCGAGATCGAAAGGTCGCCTGGAATCGATCACATAAATTGTCATATTGGGCCGCAGGAATCTGGCTAACGATTTCGTGGCTCCGCAATTGAAAAGTATCACGGATCGGGCCAGCTCACCGTGCTCAGCCATTGCTGCACTAAACGCTTGCCATCCATTCACGGGTACCAATGTGTAGGGCACATCATCGGCCAAGAATAAATCCTAAAAAAAAATAACTAGCCAACGCATGGGCTGCCCGTGCAAAGATGCGTTTTTTGCATAACTCCCCGCAGTTTCTGTCGCTATCGATATCGGTTTTTCCGGCAAATGTTTCTAACTAAACAAATTACGACTAGTCGCCAGAACTGTCAGGAAACACCCCCTTAAAATTTCAGCTTTCTAGCTTTCCTGGCCCCTGAGTTAGCAACTCACCCGAAAAAAATTCCACGGGCCTGTACGTGGATACCACGCATACCCGAGGGCTGGTTTTGAGCTTATTAATACATGCGTGGACGGGGAACTCCCGTTTAAAATTTTAGCTTTCCAGCGTTTTTGGTTCCCGAATTAGCAGCTGGCCCGCAAAAAACTTTGGCGGGCCTGTACGTGGGTAAGACCCGCCCATTTTGGGGAAGAGGTTCCGCACATGCATGTAGATTAAGTTTCCAAAGTTTCAGCCCTGTAGCTTTCGTAGGTCTCGAGATGAAAAACTGGTACAGAGAACACACAGATACAGACACACACATACACACACACACACACACACTCACACACAGACAAATCCTCGTCAATATGCGTTTTCTGCATTGCATAGATGCAAAAAATGTATAAAAAGTTAGCAAAAACAACAGATGAAAAGATTTGTGCATCAACTTACCAGCAATATACGAACTGCACAGACCGCATCCGTGTCCAC